AGCCTGTTTAAATGCAAGGGTTGAAGAAAAGGTAGCAATGGCCACTTGATCTTTTTGCTCTTAGATGTGTTAATCTGATGAAAATTTCCTGTCTAAAATGTTTGTGTTAGTCTGGGGGAACTAGAGAAACAAACCCAGCAACACTCATAAGTGTGTAAGACAGAGTTTTATATCCAAGAGTAATGGATATGTCATGGAGGATGCAAGGACTTTCCACATTCCATCCCGCCACTCTCAGAGCTTTGGCAGCCTTTCCCCGGGGGACCACAACAGGAGTTCAACTGTCTGGCAGTTACATAATCTCCTATCAACTTGAGTGAAGGGGTGGAGTCTAGCCTGTCAATATCAGGTCACTGCCAGTGGTGCCTCTATGTGGGCATGGCCTTCTCTTAAGGATTCTGGGAACTCCTGTCTTCCTCCCTGGCGGCAGGGACACACTCTCTCTACTTGACATTGCTGTTGACAAGCCACATGCAGCCACACTGAGGCAGCGAGAGCTCTGGAGCTAGAGGAGCCACATGGAGAGCCATGCCAGCGCTGAGATGCTTCCACAAGACTTTCCACTCACTGGCCTGTGATCTTCCTGCCTTTGGCATCATTGCTTATGTTGTGGGAGTCTATAGAGGAATCTATAGACTGGTACCACACATGTGGGCTAATACTGGACTAATGGACTTGGTCTGGACTGGGCTGGGATGTTTTCTTTTAAAAAAAAAATCATTTTGGGGGGGCTCATACAACTCTTATCACAATCCATACATACATCCATTGTGTCAAACATATTTGTACATTTATTGCCATCATCATTCTCAAAACATTTGCTTTCTACTTGAGCCCTTAATATCAGCTCCTCATTTCCCCTCCCTTCCCACCCCCCTTCCCTAATGAACCCTTGATAATTTATAAATTATTATTTTGTCATGTCTTACTCTGTCCAACGTCTCCCTTCACCCACTTTTCTGTGGTCCATTCCTCAGGGAGGGGGTTATATGTAGATCCTTGTAATTGGTTCCCCCTTTCTACCCAACCTTCTCTCCACCTTCCTGGTATCACCACTCTCATACTGGTCCTGAGGGGTTCATTTGTCCTGGATTCCCTGTGTTCTCAGCTTTTATCTGTACCAGTGTAAAGGGATGTTTTCTTAATAGACAATTACTCTTTAATATAAAGTTATCTTTTACACATATATGAATGTCACTGAATCTGTTCTGTAGTCTACCCAGACTAATACAATATTGTCTTTTAATTAACAAAAAGCATTTCAATGTGATTTTGTGTATATCAAATAAAGAATATTTAACACTTTTCACATTTTATAGTAGATTGCTAAGATCCGATGCAAGTTGAACTTTGCCCTTAAATTCTGAAGTTATAATTCACAATATGCCTTTCAAACAGCTATTCAAAAACACATAATCCTGTTGAACTACCGTATTTATGATTGGTGCTTTTAGCAACTCATTAGAATAGGTAGAGGAGATATCTTCTTGGCACAAATTTGTAAATTATGTGATCTTAAGGCTTAAGATAATTAAAAAAATAACAGATTATGAAACAAATTAAGTTCAGGCTTCCAGGGTGGATAGAAATTGTTCAAACCAAACTCACTGCTCTCAAGCCAATTGAGACTCATAGCGACCATGCAGGACAGGGTAGAAGTGCCATTGGGTGTGTCTGAGACTGTGACTTGACAAGAGTAGAAAGTCTCATCTTTCTCCCATCGAGACTGGTCGAACCCCTGAAACTGCAGAACTCAGTCACCCTCCCGGCCTCAAAGTGAACTCCCTCAGTGGTTCAATTTTCAGTAAAGCAACAGATAGTTCTCCAGAGTGAGTAGTAACCCTAGAGAAGCACACTTTTTTTTTCCTTCACATTTCTTAGAACAATCAAACCTCAGTAAAATCAACTATTCAAGATCAAAAGGACAGCACTTGCTGTTCAGATGGCAGAAAGAGTTAGGGAAGGAGAAATAGAAATGGGAAGGAAACATAAGAAATAGGATGAGTAATGTTACATTTTAGGGATTGCACCCATTGGCATGAAACAAGATATGTATGAGTTATCAAATGGGAAACCGATTTGCTCTGTAAACCTTCACCCGATTCACAGTAGGAAGTTAATAAAATAGAGGCAGTATGCAACTAGCAGTGGTACAAACATTTAGGGCAGTTGTTATCTCACAAAGCAAGAAGTACAAAGGCTGCACTTAGCCTCAGAGGTTGGTTCAATGCTTTCTGTGATATCACAGAGGATGCAAGGACTTTCCACATTCCATCCTGCCACTCTCAGAGCTTTGGCAGCCTCTCCCCTCCGGACCACGCGAGGCTGCGGCTGTATTTGGCTTCACACACACTCAACCACATCCAACAGAAAAGGGTTGTGCTTTCTTCCATGTGCCTCTTTTGAGGAAAATGCTTCCTTATAAATCCCTCCACTCCCATCCTGGGCCCTTCTGCCAACAGGGAATACTGAGCATTGCTGTGGAAGAATGATTGTTGAGCGGGCTATTAGCAGGATCCACTTGCCTCCCTCTCCTCTGTGTAGGCATCTCCCTCTCTCCTGGGTATTTAATCTCTCTAATCCCAGCAAAAGAACTCCCCCAAATGGCTATTGCTCAGTTTACTAATTACTTCTATTTTGTGAAAAGTAACACATTTTTCAGTCACTTTATTTGACTCAACAGCAGTATTCAATATACCTGGCTTTTCCCTAACACCTTTTCTTCTACCTCTTCGTTTCTTTGGCATGACACTCTCTTTTTAGCCCTCCTCCACCCTGCCTCATCTCTCCTCCATCTCCTTTGACTGTGTAAACTGTCTCATTTCTATACAAACAACCCTGCAAATGCTGGAGGCCCAAGCCCTCAGTGCTATACTGTCTCATCCTACTCTGCACATCTCCTGACAGGACAGCACCCCCCAGAGCTACAATTATTCCCGGTAGGCAGGGGAATATCAAATCCCTATCTCTCGCTAAGTGGTTTTGAGCCTCAAACCTAGGATCTGCCTACCTAACATCTCAATTTGAGTATCTCTCTAGTACTACAAACAAATGTCCAATATTGAACTCACCATATTCATGCACCCCTCCCAACTCATCTTGTATTCTTCTAAAAGTGGCCACTTGGTCTCTTCACATCCATCCCACTCTTCTTTTGGCCAATTCTGCACACAACAGTCAGCATGACTGTAATCTAAAAACGCGGCTCTTAGGTGTTACTCCTCTGTTTAAAAATTTTCAATGACATTGTGCAAATACTTAGAAAAGGTTCAAAATCCTTAATATTAACTTCTAAGACCCTATATGATTTCATTCTTGCCCGTCTTCCGAGTCTCACGTGATCACAAGCTCATCTCTACTTGGGTTATAAAGGCTGCTTTCCAACGTTGTGCTCTGTCTCACCAGAGACTTCACAATGCCACATCCTCTCTCTCGAGTCAGTTTTCATCGTCACCTGGCAATGTTTATCTTCACATGTTACTACCTCAGGAAGGTCTTATCTGAGCCTGCCAGTCCATTCTGGTCCCACCATCACAGGACTTCAATAGCATTTTGAATCTCTCTTCTTGTGGAATATATCATCACTCACAATCACATCACAATTCAGTGTATAGTTTCCCCTTTGGATGTACAGTCCACAAAGGCTAGGCCCTTGTTTGACAGGTTTGCTCCCTGGGACCTCAACACCAGGTACAGTGCCTAGCTCATGGTAGGTGAGTAATGAATGTTGGATAAATGAATGAAAAGCTATAGAGAATGTGTGAAGTATTTCATACCATCACTAGGAATAATAACAGACATAGCTCTATTCAAAGAATTTTGACTATTTAAGGTGAGTGAAATGGTGTCCTATACAATAATACAGCGCTGTATTTCAGTTTATAATTACATTATATGAGGAACCTGATTGGGGGGGGGATACATAAAAATCAAAGTGCATAAAAAATATTGAAGTGCAATCTCTTTGCTCTTTTAGGTAAGCTATGCATGAAATAAGTATTGTAGGTATGCAATAAATGCTTTTTTTAAAATTAAACAATGTACTACATTGGAAAAAGAAAAAAGAAAGAATTCCAGTAGTATCCTTTTATACCACAAATTATCAAATGTTCCTGGAAGTGAAATTTAATTGACGTAGAATGCATGTAACATGAACATTTACATGAACCATACAAGAATTCAGCCACAAAATGTCGCATCTTGGTGATAAGACACTTACAAAAAAGTTGAAAGCAAAATCGTTTGTCTGTATTTCATTGTGAGGAGCTCTGGAGGTGTAGCTGATTATGCCTTGGTCAGGCTAATTTACAAGCTATTCCCTGGAGAAAGCTGAGGCTACCTGTTTCTGTAAAGATTTACGGTCTCAGGACCCCCAGGGAGCATTTCTATTCTGTCCTTTAGGGTCCCTATGATTTGGGATCGACTCAAGGGCAGTGAGTGGGTTTTCATTACTCCATCATAGAAAGTACCCGATCTGACACCATGGTCACTAATGGTAAGAGTATTACATTTTCCCCCATTAGGCAAACTCCAAATTCGGCAGGGATGATTTCCTCCACATTGAGAGTTTTAGTGAGGCTGTCTTTCCCTTTTCAGCTTGTGTTTCGTGATTATTTCACTGTCCTGGAAACTACATTGTCATTTTCCACGCAGTAGAGAACAAGCCCAAGAGGCCTACAATTCCCGTCATGCTTCAGGATGGTAGCCTCAGAAGCCAGTCAACTTTCCTACCGCTTTCTTCTACTTCCTGGACTACGAGCCGGCGCCTTCCCGGGCGCGCGCACGTACTGACTCGCCAACCTGACAAGGCACGGGTGCGAAAGGCTGAAGATGGCGTGAAGCATCACGTGATGCGGGGAGCGCCTAGCTGGCGCGCTGGCGCACCTCCCACGGGGCCGCTGACGGGCGCGCGCGCGTGTGCGGAGCCGAAGGCGGGGTCTGGACCAGCGGGGGCCGACCTCCGAGGGAGGGCGGGGCTAACTCCGCGACCGGGACGACAACACACCGTGCGAGCGCCTGGATCTGAAGGGAGCGATGTTGTGGTTCCAGGGCTCCATTCCGTCCGCCATTGCGTTGGCCAAGAGTAATGGCTCGGTCTTCGTGGTGTTCGTGTCAGGTGAAGGAGGCGAGGGCCCCAGATGCGGTCGGGACTCCCCCCTCCGGCCCACTCCCCACCCTTTCTGTGCTCAGCCGCCTGTCTGCCCTCCCTGAGGCGAGGGGCCTTCGGGGCGCACCAGCTGGGGCCGTGTCCCACCGCGTTCCCCACAAGGGGACCTCCCCAACTCCCAGCCCCGCTCGGGGCATCGTCGGTTTGGGGCTCCGCAGGCCTAGGCCCGGCCACCGCTGCCCGAGCCCGCCCCGCGGGGGGGCGGTACGGGAGGGGGGGCGGGGAGGGCAGGCGGCGCGGCGCACAGGCCTCGCCGCCAGACCAGCGCGTCCGCGGGCGCCTGCCCCGCCCCGCCGAGCCCGCTGCCCGGGGGGTGGGTGAACACCGCCCTGGCGCTCTGCCCCGCTCCGGGGCGCCGCCCGGACAGCTCTCTGCCCCCGAGGACCCACTTGGGGTGTCCTGCCGTTTCCGCGTGGGCAGGGGCGGGACAGGCCGTAGGCACTTAGTGAGTTCGTAATTCGTTGTGGACTGTCAGCAAGAAAAGCTGTGTCATCGTTGAACAACAAAAGGAAACCACCTGATAGTCACGGTTACGGGCCCCGTAGATTCTTGGGAGGCAAACTTTGGGACTGATTGTAGGTCTGATTTTTGGATTTTGAAGGACATTTGTTAGGTGGGAAGAGCCTAATGTGGAATAATTCATCATTGTAAGTTGACTTTTACCGTTGGTTCCAAAGGAGGAGACTTTCGGGCCTTAACTTCTCGGTGTTGCCCTCCTCCTCAGAAATCTTCGAACTTAGGAGTCTGTGTATTAAAACTGTACCGTATGTGGCTCAGGGTGATTTTGTGCCATTATGCTCATATCCGGAAACCTCTATTGACAAGACACTGTCTTTTTGGCTTTACTGAGTTTCACCATATGAATCAAGTCAGTGTTGTGACTAATGGTAATTTGAAATGTGGTATTCTTTAATTAATTTGTGCTTAATAACGGTTTGCTCCTAATTCATTCATCTCGTGGGAGGCTAAATAACTAGTTCAGTAACTTCGTGTTCTACAGTGAAGAAAAAGCTAATAAGCTATGCTAAATTTTCAGCCCAGTGCTGTTAATTGGAAGAATGTGAGTTTTGGAGTTATGTTACTTATACTCTCCATAAATAAATAACCGCTATAATCCTGTAGAGGAGAAAAAGTAGACTAAAGAAAACTAAACGACACTGGTGTTTGTCAAAAGAATACATTAAAATGGAAGCCATTGTTGTTGAGTGGATTCTAAATGACAGTGACCCTGTAGGACAGAACTCCATAGGGTTTCCAAGGATAGAAGTCTTTGGAAGCTGACAGCTGCCCCATCTGGTATAGAGCTACTGATGGGTTAAATTGTTGATCTACTTGGTCAGGGCTCTTTGTACAATAGTAGTTTTATAAGATTTTAGATTGTTACTGTTTTTCATAAAAAATTTTACTGATCCTTTTGGTGGGTAAGAAGGACTTGTGATGGACCCCTGTTGAGTTGGGGTCGGTTTGATGGCAGTGAGTTTGTTTGTTTTATAGATGAGGAAACCACACTCATTAAGTGACATGCACCAGGGTCATAAAAACGGACTGCACCTTATGGCTTGGTAAAATTTTTAGCAGTTTCTAAAAAACGTGGTTATGTTTTTTAAGGAGAAGCAACACTTATAGGCTTTTTCTGTAGTTACTATTTTAAAATGTGTAAAAATTAAGAAACCTAGGATTGTGATAATTACATTGTTAAACAAAAACACAATTTGTGGTCTCTAACCATTACTGCAGGAAAAAGATGGGGCTTTCTATTCCTGTAAAGAGTTGCAGTCTTGGAAACCCACAGGGGCAAGTTTTGCCCTGTCTGTAGGGTCAAATGGCAGTGAGTTTCAGTGAGAAGTGTTTCTAAAAGGTAGTTTTTAGGTGCTTGTTAGTTAGTGCTGACTCACAGTAACCTTGCTTACAACAGAAAACACCATCGGGTCCTAAACCTTCTGTACAACCTTTGCTAGGTTTAAGTCAATTGTTGCAGTCCCTGTTTCACTCTTACCTCCTTTTTTTCTCTGACTTTCCCCTTTATAAAGCATGATACCCTCCAAGGATTGATCCCTTCTTTTAACAGGACCACAGTAGGTTATACATTGAGCTGCTAACTGCAAGGTCAATAGTTCAAACCTACCAGTAGCTCTCCTGGAGAAAGATGAGGCTTTATGAGGTTCCCAGAAAGATTTAAAGCCTCAGAACTCCAAAGTGGCAGAGTTCTACTCTGCCTAATCAGGTCACTCACTTTGAGTCAGAATCAGCTCAATGGCAGTGAGTTTTTCAGTGATGATATATCCAAGTGGTGACAATGTGTAAGTGTTACTAACAGAAAGGTCTGTGGTTCAAACCCACAACATTCTTCTAGGGAGAAAGATGAGGCTCTCTGCTCCCAGAAAGATTTCCAGCCTTGGAAAAACTTTATAGGGTCATAGTAAGTTGGAACCCACTTGATGAGGGTGGATGGGTGGTGGGTGATACCATGTTCAATGTATGTAAGATGAAGTCTTGCCATCCTCACTTCTAAGGAGCATTCTGGTTGTACTTCTTCCAAGACAGGCTTGTTCCTTGTTCTGGTGCTGTGTGGTATAATCAGTATTCTTCCTAGCACCATCCTTCCAATGCATCAGTCTTTGATCTTCCTTATTCATTGCCTAGCTTGCTCATGCATATGGAGTGACTGATTCAAGATCATGGCTTGATTCAAGATCACCTTAGTCTTTAAAGAGACATCTTTGCCTTTTAACACCTTTAGAGAGATATTTTGCAGCAGATCTACCTAGTACAATGCATTGTTTGATTACTTGATGGCTGCTTCCATGGGCATTGATTGTGGATCTAAGTAAAATTAAATCCTTCACAACCTCATTCTTTTCTCCGTTCATTGTGATGCTCCTTGTTGGCCCCATTATGAGGATTTGTTTTCTTTTCTTTTTTTCTGTATAAAAGAATATTTTATATAAAGGGTAATTATACATTAAGAAAGCATCCCAACCCAGAGGATTTGTTTTCTTTATGTTGAGGAATAACCTGTACTGAAGGCTGTAGTCTTTGATCTTGTGGTCTTAATTATAACCGCTTGCATATCACAGGTTGTTAGTGTGTCTTCCTACAAGAAGGTGCTCTTAGGATAAAGAAGAAATCCTACATTTAATTAGCAGTATTTGAAACCTATTTGGAAATACTTAGAAGAAAAGCAAAAACGAACTTATTGCCCTCAAATTGGCCACCCAATAGGACAGGTTAAAACTAACTCTGTAGGTTTCCAAGATAGCAACTTTTTTAGAAATAATTTTATTGGGGGTTCATACAGATCTTATCACAATCCATACATACATCCATTGTGTTAAGCACATTTGTACATTTGTTGCCCTCATCATTCTCAAAACATTTGTTTTCTACTTGAGCCCCGGTATTCGCTCCTCATTTTTTCCCCTCCCTCATGAACTCTTGATAATTTATAAATTATTATTATTTTGTCATGTCTTAGATGGTCCGATGTCTCCCTTCACCCACTTTTCTGTTGTAGATCCTTGTAATCAGTTCCCCATTTCTACCCTACCTTCCCTGTACCCTCCCTTCCCTCCACCCTCCCAGTATCACCACTCTCACCACTGGTCCTGAGGGGTTCATTTTTCCTGGATTCCCTGTGTTTCCAGTTCCTGTCTGTACGTACCAGTGTACATCCTCTGGTCCAGCCGGATTTGTAAGGTAGAATTGGGATCAGGATAGTTGGGGGGTGGCGGCGGCAACTTTTTAAGGCAGTCAAAGGCCTGATCTTTCTCCTGAGGAACAGCTTGTGCTTTCAAACTGCCTGCCTTGTGGTTAACAGCCCAACTCATAACCCCTAAAATAACACTGAAGGGCTTATCCTTTGGGACTAAACTTTTAAAATTTTTCTGATGAGCATGTAGAATTTTAATAGCTAGAATGTTTATTGGAAGACCCATTTGCAACCTGACAAAAGTGTCTACCCATTGACCTGTTCTGAAATGCTGTTGGCTTTTCTACAGTTTTAACAAATTAATCCCCAAGTCTTAAGTAGGATTAGTGTCACTCCAGGACTATATAGACAATGGAGTCATGAAACTGCAATCCTTACAAATTGCCTAGAGCTTTGTTTATAACTTTGAAGAATATTGCTTGAATTTAGGGTTGTTTTTAGCTCTCACAACTCAATAGATGGGGAAATTTTTAAAATATGGAATAATGTTTAAAGATCTCCTTATAGCTGGAAGATTGGTCTCAAGAGTGTACTTTGATTCACATAACAATTTACATGGATATAGCAAGCATGTGATTCCCAATATAGTGATATCTCACCAGATCACTGAAATTCTCTCTAAACTGGTCTCCTTACTTCTGCTAATATTACCATCATCTTGTATCCTGTTTTCACACAGTTTCTTATTTTTTAAAAAGTCATTGCCTTGCTTATTTCCATTATACTTAGGAGAACATCAATAACAACCTACCCAAACTTCTTAGGCATAGATTCTATGACCCTGTGTGTGATTTGGCTCCTGCTTAACTCTTCACTCTGTGCTTATCTTGTGCTCTCCATTGTTCATGACCCCAATCACACCGGCCTTTCCTTAAAAGTTCAATGTTCTTTCTTGTCTCGGGCCCTTTTCACACGATTCCTTCTGCATGGTGAACTTTTTCTGTCTCAGTTGGTCTCAGCCCTTAGATCCTCTTAAGTCTTTTAAATGTCATCTCAGAGAAGGGTTCTCTGACTAAAGGCCTTCCATTTTCTCTCATAGTTCTGTTATTTTCTTCATAGCATTTATTACTGTGACCATATATTTATGGTTGTTGTTTAATCTGGTCTTTCCTACCATTAGATTTTGTTATTTGTTGTCTTCAAATTGATTCGGACTCAGGATGCAAAGGCGAACTGTGCTCTAGGCAGGGACTTTTAGGAAGCAGATCAGCAGGCTTGCCTCTCAAGGTGCTGCTGGGTGGGTAAAAACCTCTGACTTTTTGGTTAATAGTGAAGCATATAGCTATTTGGCCACCCAGGTAATTTTATCATTAGAGTTTAATTTAGATTAAACTCTAATGATAAAGTGCAATAAATAATGCATTGCATATGTGCAATAAATAATGAACAATAAAAATTTTTTTGAAAGAATGAAAAGGATCCCTCTCTCTTCATTGCCTTCTTCAAGAAGTGTTTTTAGTAAAAATGCCCTATGTAGATAGTTTTAGGTAGTCAAGTCAATAATATGGAATTACACATCTTAACCCATATTCTCGGAAGATATACTCAGGAAGGGTAGGTTTTTTTTTTTACTTACTCTGTCTCTCCAATATTTAAAACACCCAAACCAAAACCTACTGCCATTAAATCTATTTCAACTCCTAGTGACCTAGAGGTTCTAAGGCTTTGCAAATTTGAGGGTGGGGGAAGATACCCTCATCTTTCTCCATTGGAGCAGCTGGTGGATTAGAACCACATATCTTGAGATTAGTAGTCCAATACTTAGAACAGCACCACCAGGGTTTCCATCTATAGTAGTCTGCCAGTGGATCATTGTTTTTGGTCTTGGTCTTTGGATGCGCTCTTGTTCCTGTTCACTTTCCATGACCAAATGTTTCAAGCTCCTATTTCTGGATCTTATCTCAAACAAATGTATCCAAATGTGCAGCAGTACAGTTAAGTACATTTTTGGAATGCCAGGATACTTCCAATACCATTTTCTATAATTGCATAATTTTCCTCTCTGCACAAAGTACTTAATTAAATGCCCATTCCATGCCAGATAGCTTGTATATTCCAGGTTCTATTGTAGGCATTTGAATTACAACAACAAAAAAAGCCCTTGTGCTCAAAGAGCCTTCATTCTGTAGGGGAAGACAGACCATAAACAATAAACATAATAAAACCATATACTAAGAGATAATCCATGTTACAGGAGCAGAAAAAGGCAAGTGATAAGGAAGCTTTGAGAATGTTGGAAAGGTGTAATTTTAAAGGCGGTAATTAGGGGAAGGAAGGCCTTATAGAGAATATGATATTTGAGCAAAGACTTAAAGATTTGAGAGTTAATCAGGTAGCTCTTGGGAAGAAGAGCATTCCAGACATGGGATACACTGACTTTAAGGCTAGAGTCTGTTTTGAGGCTAGGTAGCCAATGTGACTGGAGCAAAGGGAATGGGAAAATAAAAGGAAGAGATGTCAGAGATGACTGGAGGCCTGAGTTCAGCCATTGTGGACCATTGTAAGCACTTTGGCTTGAACTGTGAGGAAATTAGGGAACTATTGTAGAATATGTTAAAGAGGGGTGATATGATCTGACTTTCTTTTTAAAGAAAATTGTTGTGTTAAGAGTAGGGAGACCAGTTAGGAGTTCTTGTAGTCTTGGAGATGGTATATAGTAGTGTCTTGGATTAGGATCCTAGGATCAGGGTCCTAGTAGTAGAAGTGGTGCAAGATGGTTAAATTCTGTTTATATCTTAAAAATAGAGCCATCTGAGCTAAATGGATAACTAAGATTTTTGGCCTGAGAATTGAAAGGATGGAATTACCATAAACAGATGCCAAGGGAGGTGGAAGCAGTATGCAGAAGGAATATAGAATGATCTCACTTTTGTAAAACTCATATTGTGTCCTGAAAGCGTTTTTTAATCTGTAAATTCCGTTTACTTACCTTTGAGAAAGCACTTGGCTTGGCTACCCTCAAATGTTTTAATTAACTATGAGGTAAGTTTCCTTCTGCCCACCTCAGCGGGGGTACCCAAAGAAAACTGGAAAAGCACCAAGGGGCAGAGCTTTCCTAGTACACATTTTTCCCCTGCCAGGTGAGCAACAAGCAGCAGGCTCTGAGTTAGTGGAACCGGTGGCCTCACCTGGGAAGGTTCTCTCTGGTCAAAATGAATTTTTTTGTAATAGCAGGTTCACTTGAACCTCTTTTTTTTTTTTGTGATAGCCAATTAAGAGAACAGCATTTGGCTGTGAAATTTTGTTTCCTGCTTGAGAAAAATGCTGCAGAAACTGTTGAGATGTTGAACACAGCTTGCAAGGCCCGTGCTATGTGAAAAACTCAAGTATATGAGTGGTTTTCTCATTTCACAAAAGGTGAAATGTCAGTTGATGACAAACCTTGTTCCGATGTCTGTCAACTTCCCAAATGGATGAAAATGTCAACAAAATGTGTACACTTGTGTTTGAAGACCAATGACTGACTACGGAAGAGATGAGGAAGTTATCCAGACTGTCTTGGAGCTTGGTTTGGTACATTTTAATGGAATATTTGGGAATGAGAGGGGTGCTGCGAAATTTGTGCCTCGGGTTCTTTCTGACTGACCAGAAAAAAGAGCATTGACTGGAAACATGCCGTGCTTTGAAAGAACAGCTCCAAATCGACCAGACTTTTTCCCCAGGGTCATTACTGGTGATGAGACATGGTGTTTTTCTTAACAACCCCGAAAGCAAACATCAAGCCAGTGGAAGACTTCATTGTCACCTTGCTCAAAAAAAAGCGCGTCAACTGAAATTAGAGATCAAGAGGATGCTTTTTTTTTTTTTTTTTTTAATGTGAGGGGGATAGTGCACTTGACATTCCTTCAATCAGGTCAGACTGTTAATCATGCTTTCTTTTGAGATGTTCTGAAAAGATTGCATAACAGGGGACTGTACCACCACAGTGCACCTGCTCACACAGACAGTGGGTCAGTTTTTGGCAAAAAACAGCATACCTCTCTTGCCTCATGCACCTTACTCACCTGACCTCACTCTGTGCAATTTTTTTTTTGTTTCTTTGAATGAAGAGGGACATGAAAGGACAGTGATTTGCAGAGGTGAAGGAAAAAATGAAGGAGGTGCTGTCAGTGTCAGCCATCCAGACAGATGAGTTTGAAAAATGTTTCCAAGAATGGAATCACAGATTTGACAAATGTGTTGTGTAAAGGAGAGTACTTTGAAGGTGATAAAATTGTTTTTTAATAAAAAAATTTAAATACATAGCTTTATTTAAATAAAGGAGAAGGGGAATTTGGGGGGGTTGGATACTTCCCTTCTAGAAGTTATTATGCTAAAATCTAGGCATTACAAGTTAAACTTGAAATAGTCTTGATATATTTATATAAATCTAGGTCTTGAAAGGCTTAACTCTTGGAACATTTCTTTTTTTGAGGTATAACATACAGTGGTAAAGTGCATATTTTTATAAAGTGGCCATCTCAATGGATTTTTATATGTAAATCAACCTATAATACATGCAGATCAAGATACAGAACATTTCCAGCACACCAGAATAAGGCTACTTCACAACCAGGGTAGCTGTTGTGCTGAATTCTGTCACTATAGATTACTTTGGATCAGTATAACTTTTGCAAAATGATAATTCTCGTACCTGTAAAAGCAAGTCCAAAGCTCTCAACAGATTTGAACCTACCTCAAGTTGGGCTGCTAATCACAAGTTGAGCAGTTTGAAACCACTAGCCACTCCACAGGGGAAAGATGTTTTCTGGTCCTGGAAAGATTTATAGCGTCGAAAACCCACAGGGGCAGTATTGCTCTGTCCTATTGGGTCGCTGTGATTCACAATGGACTCAATAGCAGTGAGTTGGCTCTGCCTACCTTGGAGGAATTTTGGGAAAGAAATACTCTGATGTCAAAGAAACATTGAACTGCAACAGAAAGGTGTTGGAATAGTAAGAGTATATTGTACTTTTGCTTTCAGAAATCACATTATCTACAAAAGTCCAAATAGATATTTCATTGATGACTTCTTAATGTGATGTTTGCATTATAATTTGAATGTTATCTTCATGTAAAGAAATTACTTTGTATAATTTAAATGGATGTCAACAATAGTCACACTTTACATTTTTGGAGGGAAACCCGTTTTCAAATTTGATGGGGAATGCTATTTATGGAACTATATTATTTCAAGTTGAAAATTTTCAGGAGGAAGAACTTGTAGTCAGAATTGATTTGATAAAACTCCATGAAATGTTTTACAGGTAATGATGAGCAGTCTACACAGATGGCTGCCTGTTGGGAAGATGAGAAAGTGACAGAAGCATCCTCAGACAGTTTTGTTGCTATTAAAATCGATACTAAAAGGTTTGTTTATATTTTCTATCTCATGACTTAACTATGTGAGTATGCTTTTTGATGGTGCTATATGGTGATTTTCTTGGGCTAGGAGGATATTGATGTTGCATTTTTGGATGTACAAGGTAAATTGGGGACTGCTCCAATATAAATTCTGACTTCCATTTTCCACAGTAATTATTATTATCTTTATTAAAAAATCGTGAAATTCTCCAAGTCTTCTAAAGAGTTGTGGCACATGTACCAGGAAAGCAAAGAGGACCATGGCCCTCGGTTCCCAAGAACTTGGAAGGAACTGTAATCATACATTGACTATTTCTGAAAAATTGACCAATCACCCTTTGGGATTCTGTATTTGAGAGTGGAGTAGGAATGAAGAGATTTATAGGTCCTTTATGGCACTCGTTTGTATACTCATTTCTCCGTCCTTCTCTTGCCCTCTTTAACGTTCTATTATAGAAAATTTCAAACATACGAAGAAGTAGTAGACATAAGGAAGCTCCCCATGTTCTTTTCAGCTACTCTTACAATTAACAACTGAAAACCAGATCCAGATAACAGTTGGAAGGTTGTAAGAGCTAATGGGGCTTTTAGGGCAGATAATTAAAAAACAAGCAAAATGTCTTGCAAAATAATAATTGCAATTATCTCTTTGGACCTGGTGCCCGTGAAAGGAGCTGGTGGTTTCGCAGAAATACCCTTGATTGGCACACTACATAGTGAATAAAAACACTTTATCATTTCGCAAAACGTTGCATTCGTCTGCTTACTTTGGTTTTGCTTTTGCTTTACAGTGAGGCCTGCCTGCAGTTTTCACAAATCTGTATCCTTTCATAGAAGAATCAATTTTAGATATATTTTATTAGATGGCTTATTTAGCTTTCTTTGGTTAATTGATAAAATGTGTAAAAAACATCCATACATTTAGAAAATAATCCATCTCTTTTATGGAAACTATGTTATTAAATATCCTTTGATATACTACATTGTGGCAAATGGGAACATAGTGAATATCTTAAAAGCAATATGGAGGAGTTTGATTGGAATATTAAAAGTAGCTGTCAAAAGGCACCTGGTAGCAAGCTGGATTAGAAGAAAGTTGTCATACAGGGAAATGTAGATGTTCTTCACCCACACGTGTGTAGTAGTATGTAGTGGTTAGTAGAAGATATGGTAGGTGAATTTCTTATACATGATAGCTGATTATATTATGAAATTCACAATGATACTTTGCTTTATTATTAATACTGTTGCATGAAATTAGCACTCTGTTGTTTATGAATTGTTAGACTTAATCACACTGAACAGACCCTGTAGTGTGTGTTCCGTCCAGCTTCTTTATTGGAGACAGTGGAATTCCCTTGGAAGTAATCGCAGGAAGTGTTTCTGCAGATGAACTTGTTACCAGAATTCACAAAGTCCGACAGGTGAGAAGGAACAGTGTTTCTTTGCCTCCATGTGGATGATGTATTGGGCATTTGACACTGGAATCTTTTTGGAGCCCCTCTTTTATTTTCAGGAACCTGCCTATGCCACGAAATTTCTAAGGTAGTAAATACTGTCTTAATGAACTTGCTTTGAAAGCAGCATTTTGAAGTTAATGATGCCTGTAACCTATACTTGAATGACTTCTTTCTTCTTTTTATCCTCTCCCTCTTTCCCTTCCTTCCCCCAATCACATGATGCACATCACCATTATAGGCAGTCCCTGGATTACAAGCAAGTTCTGTTCATAAGTATGTCTTTAAGTCGAGTTTGTATGTAAATCAGAAAAAGTTAGGTATGTTCCTATATAATGTCAGTCTCATGTTTATTTTTGCGTATAGTGTAACTTTCTGTGCATAAAAAACATTTAAAAAATCACTTCTAGATGCATGAAAATACTGCTAACATAATAATACAGTAGTAATAATAATTTTATGTGAGTTGCATACATCAATATTTTAATATAATAAACTTTATACAGAGGCTAGTTTCTAACTATGGGTTGTGTGAATGTAACCTGGGACTGCCTATACTCAGTTGTGAGGGAGAATTGCTCTCACATTATCATCCTAATACTATTGTAAGATATATTTTAAGGACCTTATCTGATACTTTTTCATTTGCATCTTACTTGAATTCTAATGAAATGAAGTGGCTCTCAATTCTTTGAGGTCTGCTTTTAATGAAAGTCAATAGTATGCTTTAAAAGTCTTTTTCCACTCTCGCTTGCACTTGAATTCCACAATGTGTTTAAGTTACGTTTAGAGTGTCACTTTAGATTCATCTGCATATAGAGAATGTAGTACTTTTACCTATGGCAGATTATTAAATGGTTCAACTCATATTTTGGTTTAATATGCCATAGTTAATTAAGCTTATTCTTTTCTTATTATTCCCAATTTGTTTCCTCCCTAGATGCACTCACTGAAAGTTGAAATAGCAGTTGCAAATGGGAGCCCATCAGAAAGTTCCGTTTCTACTCTGTCTGCCTCATTTGAACCTAACAACACGTCTGAAAACCCTCAGTCCAGAAATGTCCAGCTTCCTGAGACACCACCCACTTCTGATGCTAAGTCTGATAGTGCAACAGGTTCTCTCTCCTTCTTTTGAATGGTTATGGTGAAATAGATATGTAGCAAAACATGGGCAGTCATTCATTTTGAGATGGTTTTCTTGGCATATAGTTCACATATCATATAATTTAATATTTCATTCATTTTAAGAAGAGTTGTGCATTCATTACCATAATCAATTTCAAAACATTTTCTTTCATTTAAAAAAAAATTATTTTATTGGGGGCTTGTGTAATTCATCACAATCCATACATACATCCATTTTGTCCAGCACATTTGTACATTTGTTAAAACATTTTCTTCTTGTACTCGTTATAAGCTCCCCATTTCTCCTGACCTACCCCTACCCTTGCCCCTAGGTAATTATTAGTTTATTTTCTTTCTCTATAAATTTACTTATCTTGGATTTCATGTACAGAAAATCATACAAAACGTAAACAAGAAACAAACCAAAAATAACCCAATAAAAATTAGAAAGCAGAAAAGCTTTGATCAAAAATAAAATATTGAAACTGAAACAACATTAAAATGGATCAAAAGAGAAATCAAATTATAAGGTGTTACATTTATTTAACTCCCTACTCTGGTCATAATTGATTTTCCAGTACTCTGTGTTGATAGGAAGGTTGTTCACATCCTTCGACCATCGTCAGAAGGGTTCGTTGAGACTTAATCTATGTGGGAGCCTGCAAATGGATTTCTGGGTTTCCATTGTCATCCATTGCCTTCTGCACACTGGTGTTCATAATTTAAGCTCTGATACCATTCCTTCCTTTGGATTTGGATTTTGTTATATACAATCCTTGGATCACACAGGCGGGTGTGCTTCTTCCACGAGGTTTAGTTGACACCACATTTAGATGGCTGCTTGTTTTAAGACATGCCTTTAAGATTCCAAACACTATTCTTTCTGATAGCCATGCACCCTCTGGTTTTTTCACCGCACTTTGCTAAATCACTCATATCTTCAGTGATCTTTTCAGGAAGGTGAATATCAAGCAGGACCATGTAATAAGAACTACTCGTTCTTAGAGTAAGTGTGTGGTCCCCAAATTTCATACCAGGAAGGTGAGTATCAAGCAGGACCATGTCATAAGAACTAGTTGTTCTTAGATTGTGTGATCCCTAGATTTCATACATCTATGATTTATGTATGTCTCTGATTCACTTTAGAGATATCATTATCAACTACTTTTACATCTGTAATTCAGTGACTGTTCCTCACATGGAACTCTAGCATAGTTTGTTGTAATGGCTACACAGAACACAGATTAAAAACACAATTATGGGTGTTTATTAGGGAAATTAATCGGTTCCCACAAGCCAGAATCAGTAAACTATAAGGATACAGTCAATGGTCCATAGCAGTCCCTCATAGCCAGCAGCCAAGTCGCTCTTTCTGGTCCTCAGCCATGTGATCCCTTGGCCTTTGATACTGTGGACCAGGAAACCAGTGTACTGCTATGCTTCACAGTCCCATAGTATTGATGCTATTCCTCTGTTCTGTCTTGGTTTTCTTGCCTTGGCCTCTGGTCTTGGCCTGGCTCCTTTGCTTTGTTCCATAGTCTCTGTGCCGTAGTATCTGGTGCCTCTGGTTTCGGCCTCTGTCACTTCAGATAGAGATCTGGAACATGCTCTTCTTCCAATGGTCCTGGGCTTTTTCTCTGTGATGGCTCTTAATAAACAGAGGAATAGCTTGGATGGAGGTGTGTTTTTTAATCTTAGCTGACTCTATCCCAAGGAAATAAAGAATGTGACTTGGTTCACACCCTCTGCTAAGGTCAGGACTTAACCACATCTTAAAACTGAGTATTAGAATAGCAGGGAACTCCCTCAAAAATAGGATTATAACCCATACGCAAAGTATCATGAATTTGTAATACATCACATAAAGAGTTATGGCTAGATGGGCCATATTTTAATCGACCACATCTCAAATGCTTAAGAAAGAGGTGGTAAGACATCATTGCAAACAAAAAGCTTCTCAAATAGACATTAATTTTCTTTTTAAATTATTTTTAATCAGTTTATTGGAGACTCATACAACTCTTATCACAATCCATACATACATCAATTGTATAAAGCACATTTGTACATTCGTTGCCGTCATCATTCTCAAAACATTTGCTCTCCACATAAGCCCCTGGAATTTGCTCCTCATTTTTCCCCCTCCCTCCCCGCTCCCCCCTTCCTCATGAACCCTTGATAATTTGTAAATTATTATTTTGTCATATCTTACACTGTCCAACGTCTCCCTTCACTCACTTTTCTGTTGTC